GTTAAAAAAACTCTTTGTTGAAAAAGCTTTTTGTTAAAAAAAAGTTATTGTTAAAATTAATTTAACAAAATTTGTTGGAAAAAAGCTTCTTGATAGAAAAACGTCTTGTTAAAAAAGCTTCTTGTTAAAACGCTTTTTGTAAAATGTTTATATTGGTCTAATTTTTACTTAAGCTATTTGTAAAAAAGCTTTTTGTTGAATAAGCTATATGTAAAATAGTTTTTTGTTAAAAAAACTCTTTTTTAAAAAAGCTTTTTGTTAAAAAAAGTTATTGTTAAAATTTATTTAAAAAAGCTTTTTATTAAAAATGTTTAGAAAAGCTCATTGTTAAAAAACATGTATATAAAAACTTTAATCGTTGCAAAAAGTATCTTTGTGAAAAATGTTTTATTATAAAATGCTTCTTCTTAAAAAGCTTTTCTTAAAATGGTATCTTTTGTTCGTTTTCCTAAAGAAGTATTTTTGTTATAAAGTATTATTTATAAAACTTTCTGCTTATAAAGCTTTTTATTAAAAAATGTTTATAGTTACCACTTATTTAAAAAAGTTATGTTACATGCATTTTGTACAAGCTTTTCGTTAAGATAAGCTTCTTGTTAAAAAAAGCTTTTTGAAAAAAAGACCTCCTTTTGTGAAAAACCGTTTTTGCTTAAAAAATATTTTTGGTAAAAAGCAATTTTTGTAAAAAGCTTTTTTGGAAAAGTTATTTTTGTAAAAAGCTATTTTTGAAAAAAAAGTAAAAAAAAGTTTATTGTTTCCCTGTCTGTTGCATTTTTAAATAATATGAAATATAAAAAAGCTTTTTTAACAGAGCTTTAATTAAAGTTTCTTTTCTGATCTTAAAACAAGTTTTCTAAGAAAAATCTCTCTGGTTTAAGGGATAAAAAGCAATTTTGTAAAAAAACTTTTTCTTAGAGAGTTTTTTTTTTTTTTTTAAAGCTATTTAAAAAAAGGCTTTCTCATTAAAAATCTCTTTGGTTTAAGGGATAAAAAGCTATTTTTATTAAGAGCTTTTTTCATAATTTTGTGTCTTTTATGCATTAAATATGAAAAAGCTTTATAACAAGCTTTCTCAAGAAAAATCTCAATAAGTTAATGAAAAAGCTTCTGCTGAACTTTTTTGTTAAAAGAGCTTTTTGGAAAAATCTTTTCTTATAGTGTAAAAAGAGTCACACAACAAGTAAAAGCACATATTTTTTTACAAGTTTTGTTGAAGGGGTTTTTGGTAGCTCCTCTCTTTGGTGCTTAATGTTTAAATTTTTAAATTTTCCTATTTGGTTTTCTTGCTTTCCTTAATTTTCCCTAAAAGATTTCAATTTTTCATTACAAAAACATTTTAGTTTAATTGCTTATTTACCATTACTCTTCTGAAAAAAAAAACAACTTTACTAGGCAGGTTCTTCATCACATCCTACACAATATTTAACACTTTATACAGACAGATACCATATCGAATAACAAATGTTGAGTATTTTCTGTATGTTTATATATATTCTGTCACTTCTCTATATTTTGTAGTCAATCTCCCTGATGTCTCTTAATATGTTAAAAACTACTTGAATGTTATTTAGGAAAGGAAGGTAGATTGGAATGGATTGTGGGCACCAGTATTAAATATATATATAAAATATGGTAAGAAAAGCTTTAAAAGTCAGTTGCTACTACAAACAAGCATACAACTCTTTTTGGAACACAAAGAACGTTTAACTAAATCCATTTTGTTGTTGCATTAAGTTTGAATTAGTAGCTATATTCCCCATACAGGCCCACTGTATGTACTCTACAAAAGTAGCAACTAGAAATACATTAAATTTCCTGTTAGAAATAATGAAAATGCATTAAAACCACAATTTTTTAAATATTTGTTTGTTTAGGTATTTATGTGGTTTTTAGCCACATACATATACTCCTAAAAATATACAAGAATTCTATAAAATATCTGCAGCAATCTCTGTTTCCTGGACAAATGTAGAAACGTGCACAATTCCTAGTATAGTCAACATATATAAATGTTAGTTGAGGCTAACCAAACCACCACCCAAATACCCAACATACACAAGAGAGTTTATTTTAGGTAAAATTCATTTAACACTTACTGCACTACATACAACATTATCAAATGCATACTTTCAGGCTGTTGGCAAACACATGTACTAATGCATACTTTAGAGTCTCTAGCATAAGTGTTGGTATCTTTGAAAATCATATTAATATGCTTGTCTTACTATATTATATTTATTAAAATATAATAATATAAAATTTACCATTTAAATATATTCATGTTTACAAGTATTCATAAGACTTATTGTATTTACCACCTTTCTTGAAATGTTACCTAGTTTAAGTATTATGTTTATATTTGGTATATTTTGTTGAAATTAATTATTAAATATTTAATTAATTGTAATATTAATAATAATTTAACTTAAATAACTGTAAAACTCTTAGATGTAAGTTATTGTTAATATTTGTAAATCCTTAAAGTAGGCAATGTCAAATGCCCCTCCAGCAACAAGTGTAAATATGCAATTACTTTTGGAATTAAAATATGAATTTTAAGACAAATTAAGAAACACTTGTTTAATGTTGATTACATTTCAGGGTATAGAATAGTTTACATGCTGCAGTAGAGAAAGGTAAATGGTGTATAGTCCATAATCTAGACTATATGTAGAATAATCTATAATCTGGACCATAAAATAGTCTAGACTATAAAAGATTCTATAATATCAGTCTATAATTTGTACTACAGAATTGTAGTCTGGACTAAAGATCAGTATATAGTCGAGATTATATATTAATTTATAGTCAGAACTATAGATCAGTCTATAGTCACCACAGTAGATAGTCTGTAGTCAGGAATATAGATTCTATTTAGGACTATAGATTAGTCAGTACTGTAAATTAGTCTATACTCAGGACTATCGATTAGCCTATAGTCAGGACTATAGATAAGTCAGGCATAATCAGGACTACAAATTAGTCTATAGTCAGGACTATAGATAAGTCTACAGACAGGACTACAGATCAATCTTTAGTCAGGACTACAGATTTGTCTATAGTCAGGAATATAGCTGACACTACATAGCATAATCTATTGTTTGGAATTTAGAATAGTCTATAGTCGGGACTATAGAATATTCCATAGTCTGAACTATAGAATAATCTATATTCTGGACTATAGAATAGTCTATAGTCTGGACCATAGAATAGTATATAGACCGAACTATAGAATAATCTATAGTCTTGACTATAGAACAGTCTATATTCTGAACTGCAATAATCTATAGTGTGGATTATAGAGTAGGCTATTTCGAACTATAAAGAAAGTATATAGTTTAGAATATAGAGTAGTCTATAGTCTGGACTGTAGAATAATCTGGACTATAGAATTTTCTATAGTCTGGACTAAAGAATAGTCCATAGTCTGGACTATAGAGTAATCTATAGTCTGGACTATAGAGTAATCTATAGTCTGGACTATAGAGTAATCTATAGTCTGGACTATAGAATAGTCAATAGTCTTAACTGTAGAATAGTATAAAGTAGTAAAGAGTAGGCTATTGACTGGACTATAAAGTAGTCTATAGTCTGGAATATAGAGTAGTCTATAGTCTGGACTATAGAATAATCTATAGACTACACTATAGAATAGTCCATAGTCTGGAATATAGAAAAGTCTGTAGTGTGGACTTTGGAAAGGTCTATAGTCTGGACTATAGAATAGTATATAGTCTGGACTACAGAATAGTCAATAGTCTGGACTATAGAATAGTCTATAATCTGGACTATAGAATAGTCCATAGTATAGACTATAGAATAGTTTATTGTCTAGAATATAGAATAGCCTATAGTCTAGACTATAGAATAGTCTACAGTCTGGACTATAGAATAGTCTATAGGCTGGACTATAAAATAATATATAGACTACACTATAGAATAGTCTATAGTCTGGAATATAGAAAATTCTATAGTGTGGACTTTGGAAAGGTCTATAGTCTGGGCTATAGAATCTATAGTTTCAGCTAGAATTGTCTGTAGTCTGTACTATACAATAGTCTATAATCTGAACTATAGAATAGTCAATAATCTGGACTATAGAAAAGTCTATAGTCTGGACTATAGAAAAGTCTATAGTGTGGACTATAGAGTAGTTTATGGTCTGGAATATAGAATAGCCTATAGTCTGGACTATAGAATAATCTATAGTCTAGGCTATAGAATAATCTATAGTCTGGACTATAGAAGAGTCTATAGTCTGAACTATAGAATAGTCAATAGTCTGGACTATAGAATAGTCTATAGTCTAGACTATAGAATAGTCTATATTCTTGACTATAGAATAGTCTATAGTATGGACTATAGAATAGTCTATAGTCTGAACTATAGAATAGTTTATGGTCTGGAATATAGAATAGCCTATAGTCTGGACTATAGAATAGTCTATAGTCTGGACTATAGAATAGTCTATAATCTGGACTATAGAATAGTCTATAGTCTGGACTATAGAATAGTCTATAGTCTGTACTATAGAATAGTCTATAGTCTGGACTATAGAATAGTCTATAGTCTGGAATATAGAATAGCCTATAGTCTGGACTATAGAATAGCCTATATTCTGGACTATAGAATAGTCTAAAATCTGGACAATAGAACAGTCTATAATCTGGAATATAGAACAGTCTATAGTCTGGATTATTGAATAATCTATAGACTGGATTAAAGAGTGGTCTATATTCTTAACTATAGAGTAGTCTATAGTCTGGACTGTAGCATAGATAATATCCAAAAGGCTATAGAATAGTATATAGTTTGGACTATAGAATAATATCTAGTCTGATCTATAGATTGGTCTTTAAGATGGAATATATTCTGGAGTAAAGTGTAATTTATGCAAACATTTTAGGTTCTTTTACTTAAGCCTTTTTTATAAAAACATTAATTGTGAAGCATGTAATCCCCTCTAAAAAACCGATTCGAATTTGAAATTTACAGTTTGAAAAGCTTTATTTTAAAGACAGCTAATAGAAAATTTTCTAACAACATAAAAATATATATTTCTTAGAATAAACAATAAAAACACAGATATAAAACAGTATTATCAAACATGGCCCTAATAGCGAATCTACGCTTCGCGTTAAAGCAAAATTTTCTGAAATATCCTTTGAATATAAAATTCATACGTTTCGCTTGCGAGGAGGCTTACCAAGAAACCCTTAAGAATCTGTGCATTACTAAAGAGTCTAAAGTTATATGCCAGGGATTTACCGGTAAACAGGCCACTTTCCATTGCAAGGAGGCCATAGCCTATGGCACCAAAATGGTGGGTGGTGTTTCACCAAAGAAGGCCGGTACTAAACATTTAGATTTGCCGGTATTCAAAACTGTTGAAGAGGCCAAAAAGGCCACTTGTCCACATGCATCGGTGATATATGTGCCACCTCCCGCCGCGGCTGCTGCCATAATGGAATCTATTAAAGCAGAGATACCTTTAATAGTATGTATTACGGAAGGTGTTCCCCAACACGATATGGTTAAGGTCAAGCAGGCTTTATTGACCCAGGAAAAATCACGTTTAGTCGGTCCCAATTGTCCGGGCATTATAGCACCCGAACAATGTAAAATAGGTATAATGCCGGGTTTTATACATAAACGTGGTATGATTGGCATAGTCTCACGTTCGGGCACCTTGACTTATGAAGCGGTTAATCAAACTACACAATTTGGTTTGGGTCAAACTTTATGTGTGGGTTTGGGTGGAGATCCCTTTAATGGCACAAATTTTATAGATTGTTTAGAAATCTTCCTGAAAGATCCCAACTGTAAGGGCATAGTAATGATAGGTGAAATTGGAGGAGATGCTGAGGAAAAGGCTGCGGATTTTTTAAATGAAAATAATTGCGGTGATCCTCCTAAGCCAGTAGCAGCTTTTATTGCCGGTTTAACTGCCCCACCCGGCAGGCGTATGGGTCATGCTGGGGCTATTATATCGGGAGGCAAAGGTGGGGCCAAAGATAAAATAGCTGCTCTTAAAGATGCCAATGTGGTGGTGACCAATAATCCCACAACTATAGGTAAAGTTTTATATCAAGAAATGCTAGAAATGGAAATTATTAAGCCGCCCAGCAAAAAGCCAGAGGAAAAGCCAGCAGAAAAGGGCAAGAAAAAATAAGATTTTCCTTTAAAATGTGTTAACACCAAATGATTTTGTAATAAAACTTCAAATTTTGTTCATTTCATTTTAAAACTATGATTTTAAATGTCTGTGCAAATCCGCCCCATATCAATTTCATGCTTCATCTTAATAGAAAATCTTAGTTGTTATTCTTCTTTGCCACAATATAAGGATGTTTACTCATCATCCTTTTAAATAAACTGCTTGCTATAATGTCTGTGTGTGTATGTGTGCGTGTCTGTTCAACTTTTACCCCCTGTAATCTCTTTATTTTTTGGAGATTTTTCTAAATAAACTCTCTTATCACTGTTTTTACGCATGAAATTGTTGCCACAATTGAACAAGAAAATCCTGCATTAAAAAAAGTTTTTATCTTTTGTTGCAGTAAAAAATTTTTTATATAAACAATTCGGAAGATTTAACTAAATAATGGACGAAGGTGAAATAAGCTAAATTTTAATTGCATAGTATTTTATAGTACAGGCTATAGGTTATTCTATAATCCAGACTGTAGACTATTCTATAGTCCTGACTATAGACTATTGAAAAGTTCACACTAAAAACGTTTCTATAGTTTAGGTTATAGACTACTCTATAGTCCGTACTGAAGACTTTCTAAAGTCCAAACTACAGACTATTCTATAGTTCACACTACAGATTATTCCATATTCTAAGGTCCAGACTATAGACTATTTTATAATTCTGACTATAGACATTCTGTAGTCCAGATTACAGGCTATTCCATAGTCCAGATTATAAACTATTATATAGTCAATACTATAGACTATTCCATAGCCCATATTATAGACCATTCTGTTGTTCAGACTATAGATATTTTATACTTCTGTAGTCCAGACTATAGACCTTTCTTTTGTGTAGACTATATACTATTTAAAAGTCCAGACGTAGACTATCGAATAGTCCAAACTATAGACTATTGTATAGTCTAAACTATAGTCCAGATTACAGATAAATTTACAGTCCAAATTATACGCCATACTACAGTCCAGACTAGAGACTATTCAACAGTCCACACTACAGACTATTCTATATTCTAAGGTCCAGACTGTAGACTATTCTATTCTATAGCTAAGATAATAAACATTGGACTGTAGACATTCTATAGTCCAGATTATGGACTATATCATAGTCCAGATTATAGTATATTTTATAGTCCAGACTATGGACTAATCTATTATCCAGACGAGGCTATTTTATTGTCCAGACTGTAGACTATTCTATAGTTCAGGCTATAGAATATTGTATAGTCTAGACTATAGACTATTTTGTTTTCCAGACTATAGACTATTCTGTTGTCCAGACTATAGACTATTCTATAGTGCAGACTATAGACTATTCCACAGCCGACACTATAGATTATTCTATAGTCCAGATTATGTACTAATCTATTGTCCAGACTAAAGACTACTCTACTATATATAGTCTTAGTGTGTACTATATAACAGTATATAATCTGTTATATAGTACACACTATCGACTATTCCATAATTCGGACTATAGACTATTCTACAGTCCAGACTATAGACTATTCTATAATCCGGACTATAGACTATTCTACAGTCCAGACTATAATCTATTTTATAGTCCATTCCAGAATATAGACTATTCTGTAGTCCACACTACAGTCTATTCTATAGTCCTGACTGTAGACTATAGTCCAGATTATAGTCTATTCTATAGTCAAGACTATAGACAATTCTGTTGTCCAGACTATATTTAATAGTGCAGACTATCTATAGACTATTTTGTAGTCCAGACTATAGACTATTTTATAGTAGGCTATTCTATAGTCCAGACTATAGACTATTCAATAGTCCAGATTATAGTCTATATAGTCCAGATTACAGTCTATTCTATAGTCAAGACTATAGACAATTCTGTTGTCCAGACTATATTTAATAGTGCAGACTATAGACTATTCTATAGTCCAGACTATAGACTATTCTATAGTCCAGACTATGGACTATTCTATAGTCCAGACTATTGACTACAGTCCTGACTGTAGACTACAGTCCTGCAGTCCTGACTGTAGACTATTCAGAAGTCTAGTCTAAAGGCTATTAGACTATTCTATAGTCCAGAATATAGACTATTCCATGATTTAGACTATAGATTATATTCAGTCCAAATTATAGGATGTTAGTCAACCCGACGGTAACGCCAAAATGTAATAACTAAGCAAAAGGTTTTCGGATCAGAGGGCGGTTGTTTATGTTTTGGTTCCATTAAAAATATACTACATTTTACTTGAATTAGTAATTTTGTTTTCATTTGGCGTGTTATCATCAATTAAATAGCAATTTAATTAAAAATGTCTTCATTGATTTTATCAACTTAATTGAAATGTCATGATGCATTTAATAATTAAATATAGGTGAGTCCCTAAGAGAAAAATAGATCAGTAGTTAGAAATTAAGAAATTTATGTCTAAAAAATATTACGATATACTACGATACAACACCGATTGTGATGTGGAAAAATATGTGAAGCAATATGTTCATTAGGATTTTAACTAATATTAGGCCCTATCAGTACGTGGTATGTATAATTGTGGATTTTATGTTAATAGAAAGCCCCATCCATATGTATGAGTAATTATAATATAACATTTTACAATCGCAATACATTTTTTCATTTGGTAATCTATATAAATAAGCTTCACCATAGCTTGGCAAAACATTCAAGTAAAAATGTTGCAACAAATTTTGAAATTTTATTTTATTTTAACAATCATTCCCCTGACATGGACTACACATACTCCTCAGTTGGCCACTTTGGAAGGTAAGTTGCTGACAAAATGTTTTTGAAATTCACATAAATCTTTTTCATATTATAATAGATTTCCCAGACAATCGTAGTGAACTACCACTTGTTAAAGTAGAAAATAAATATTATTTTTTCGGACAATTCAAGGTAAGAAAAAAAATTCCCCAAATTAAAATTTTAACACATTTTTAACCCGATTATCATATTACAGGTTAATTGGTATGAAGCTTTTCTCATTTGTCGTTCGATGGATGCTTTTCTCGCATCTTATAATTCTCCACAGGAATTGTCTACATTATCTAAATATTTGATTGCCAACTATCCCTTAGATCATTGGTGGTGGTTGTCCGGTACTGACCAACAATTGGAAGGTGATTTCTTTTGGTTTAGTACTGGTAAACGCATTTTTTATGCCGATTGGTCTGCTGGTCAACCGGATAATAATGGGGGTAATGAGAATTGTGTACATTTGTGGTATAAAGAAAGAAAATATCAAATGAACGATTGGGTATGCAATAGGTTGGCATATTATATTTGTGATTTAGAAAAGCGTAATAATAATAATACCGATAGTGTGTTTTATTAAAAAACTATAATAAAATGTATATTCTATAGTCCACAACGTAGACTATTCCATGATCTAGACTATAGACTACTCTATAGTCGAAACTATAGATTACTTTACAGTCTGGGCTATAGGCTATTAATATTCTGTTGTTCATACTATATAAGCCATACTTTAGATTACTACTTTAAACTATTACATACTAGCTGACCCGACAGACGTTGTCCTGTCCAAATTAGAAAACATTTTTATGTTCGATTTGTGATTTTAGATAAATCGAAAATAGTTAGCGTAAAAGTGGGCGTGGTCAATTATTTTTTCAGTAAAACTTTAAATTTGATTACTACGAACATGTTTTAAAAAATTTAGCCAAATCGGTGCAGCCGTTTTCCGATTTTAGGTAAATCGAAAAAAGTGGGCGTGGTAAATTTTTCTTTCAGTAAAAACTTAAATTAGCCGTTTTCCGATTTTAGGTAAATCGAAAAAAGTGGGCGTGGTAAATTTTTCTTTCAGTAAAAACTTAAATTAGATTACTACGACCATTTAAATAAAAAATTTAGCCAAATCGGTGCAGCCGTTTTCCGATCTTAGATAAATCGAAAAAAGTGTGCGTAAAAGTGGGCGTTGTCAATTTTTCTTTCCGTAAAAACCTAAGTTGGACTATGACGAACATTTCAGTAAAAAAATTGTCCAAATCGGTCTAGCAGTTCTCAACTGATGCAATTACCAACGAACGACAATTGATTTTTATTTATATAGATATAGTCCCGACTATAAAATAAGTAGTTCAAAATATAGACTATTCTATAGACTAGAGTATAAAGTTTTCTATAGTCCAGACTTTAAACCATAGTATAGTACACATTATTCTATAATTTAGACTATCGACTATTCTATATTTAGTCCCTACTATCAAATAGCCCAGAGAATATACAATTCTGTATTCCAGATTATAGAATGTTCTATAGTCCAGACTATAGGCTATACTGTAGCCCAAACCATAGAATGTAGACTATTCTATAGTCCAAATTACAGTCTATTCTACAGTTCAGACAATATTCTATTATATAGTTCAGACAATAGTATATTATATAATTTTGACTATAGTCTAGACTTTAGTCTATACATATTATAGTCCATATTCCATAATCCAGAAAATAGTATATAGACCAAACTATCTATAATCTATTCTACATTTCAGACTATATAATATTCGACTGTGAAATACTTTACACCATAGACTATTGTATAGTCTATAATATAGACTAAACCATAGTCCAGACTACAGATTATTCTATAATAAGAAATATTCTATAGACTTTAAACCAGTCAATAGTACAGACTATTCTATAATCTATAATATATTCTATAGTCCCGACTACAAAATAGCTTAGAAAATAGACTATTCTGTATCCAGATTATACACTGTTTTATGATCCAGACTATAGGCTATACTATAGTCCAAACCTGAGAATATAGCCTAGTCTATAGTTCAAGTTATAATCTATTCTATAGTTTAGACAATAGTATATTATATAAATCTGACTATAGTCTACTCTATAGTCCAGACTATAGTCTAAACCATTCAGAATAGTATAGTCCAAAACATAGACTATTCTATATCCATATTATACAATCTTCTATAGTCTCGACTATAAAATATTCCACAGAATAGCCTATTCTATATATTAGACTAAAAACTGTTCTATAGTCTCCCGACTAAAGATAGTCCCAGCTGTAGACTATTCTTTGGTCCACAGATTGTTCTTTAGGCCAGACTATAGAGTAGTGAACAATTCTATATTCCAAAGCTAAAGAGCTTTAACATTACTTAAGATTTTTCCTTTTCCACATTTTAGACTATAGATAGACTATTAAACTATAATCCATAATATAATCCTTTCTATAGTCTAGTTTATAGACGATTCTATACTACATATTATAGACGACTCTATATAACAGACTACAGATTATTATATAGTCCAAAATATTCCTTAATCCAGACTGTAAACTATTATATTATCCAGACTATAGACTATTCCGTATTCCGTACGGAGGGTACTTATTAGTAATAGTTTATTTAGAAACATATATAATAGCTGCCGATTTTAAAATATACTAAGAGCTACAGTTTTAGTTTTATCAGCTTCACAAATATAAAACATAGGAGTCTTACAATCATCATCATTCATCTGATACTTTCTGCCAACACTAAGCAAATGTGCACAATGCTCAACACCCATAAAATTATCCGGTTGACCATCGTACCAATCAGCATAAGCAATAGGTTCACCTGTTCTATACCAAACCCAAAGACCCTCGACATCTTGATCAGAGGCGGACAACCAACAATTAAAATTTCTGGAATATTTCGTACTCAAATAATTGGATAGTTCTGCTAATTCTTCGGCCGTGTCAAAAGAGGCCAGAAAACCACCCATACTGTGACAGGTTAATAAGGCATTATACCAACTAACCTAGAAACTTGGAAATTTTAGTTTTGATTTTGACAATAATATAAGTTTTTTATACCTTATTGTGTCCAAAATAATAAAATTTTTTACCCACTTTAACAAATGGCCGCATATTTTGATAATCGTTGAAATCTGTTTGAGTAATAGTACAGTTATTTAGGGAACTTTTGTATTTTCAATAAGTTACCTTCTAGTTTATTAGTAAACACTCCGGGAGTACGATAGCTTATAACAATTTTTATAGCACATAATACTAAACCGATCTGATAAATATGTTGCCACATTTTTCTATTGATTTCTAATGTTGAAGTAAATGCAAATATCTAAAAGTTTCTAATTTATATGTAAAACTTATTTACAATTTTGTAGAAACAGTTTAGCAATTATTAAAATTATTACAAAAATAACAACTGCTTTTCACTTTTAATATATAAAACTAATAAAATTAATTAATATTTTTTTAATTATTTATGCCATTCGAAGTCGGCTAACCGTAAACTTTGGAGATAAAGAACTTTTTTGTGTAAATAAATAAATATCATACTATTAATGAACTTTTCATATTCAGAATGAAAATGGTTTGCATTATAATATTTAGAGTAATAAATTAGTTTTTTTATTTAAATGTTAATTAATGGAAAGTCTCTTAAACAGTTATCAGTATGAGTCCATGACATGGCCTAGATATACTTCTCAGTTGGCCACCGAACTTGAGAAAGGTCTATGTTCTTGAAAGAATTATATTTTTGTATACATTTTGATAAGACACATATATTGAAAAGTAATGAGTACAACCCCCTTTTTAAACAACTTACTCTTCACTATATATTCATCGATATTTTAACTCATTATTTTAACACAGCGATATAATGGGAGACAAGTACTTACCGCTATCGCTTACAAATAAGTAATCTTATACATATTTGTTCAATACATATATAATTAATATAACTAAACTTTATTTAAAATGAAACGAAATCAATTACCAAGTTTTTAAAACATTCCTACACTAACAGCTACAGTTTCAGGCTTATTAGCTTGACATATATAATTCCTACGACTTTTACAATCTTCATCATTCATCCGATACTTTCCACTTAGACTAAATAACTGCGCACAATGCTCAATGCCCATAAAATTATCCGGTTGACCTTCGAACCAATCACCATAAGCCATAACTTCACCAGTACTATACCAAATCCACAGACCCTCGGAATCTACATCAGAAGCGGACAACCAAGTATTAAAATTTTTAGAATATCTCGCAAGCAAATAATTGGATAGTTCTGTTAATTCCTGGGCAGTTTCGTAAGAGGCCAGATCACTGCCCATATAACGACAAATCCTCAAGGCGTTAAACCAACTAACCTAGAAATAATCGTGAAAATTATTTAATAATTTGCACCTTTTAAATAATTTCTTTATACCTTAGATTCTCCAAAGTAATAATATTTTTTGCCTATTTTAACAAATGGCCTTATATTTATATTATCGGGGAAATCTGTTTAAGTAATAAGTATTGCAATTACAAAATTTAGTTATATTCTATAAGTTACCTTCCAATATATCGGTAGCCACTTCGGGAGTACGATAGGCTATTACCAATTTTATAGCACATAAAACTAAACCGATTTTACAAATATTATGCCACATTTTTCTGTTTATTTTACAAGTATATTTCCGTTATGATTTCTTATATTTGAATGAATAAAAAAATGTAAAAAGATTTATTTATATTCATTAATTTTCCCATTTACAACTTTGTTTTAAAATATTGAAAAATAACAGGTGTTAACTAAAATACAATAACAATAAAACTTGTTTATATATTTTTTAATTACTAGTTATAAAAACCTACACTAATACAACAAAACTTTTCAGATAAAAAACTTTTTCACAGTCCACACTATAGACTATTGTATAGTGCAGACCATAGACTATTCTATAGTCAAGACTATAAACTATTCTATAGTCTGGACTATAGGCTATTCTATAGTTCCGACTACAGACTATTATATAGTCCCGACTATAGACTACTCTATAGTCCATACTATAGACTATTCTAAAGCCCAGACTATAAACAATTCTATAGTTCAGACTATAGACTATTCAATAGTCCAGACTATAGACTATTCTATAGTACAGAATATAGACTATTCTATAGTACAGAATATAGACTATTCTGAAGTCCAGAATATAGACTACTCTATAGTCCAGAATCCACAGTCCAAACTATAGACTATTCTATAGTACAGACTATAGACTTTCTATAGTACAGATTATAGACTTTCTATAGTCCAGACTATAAACTATTTTATAGTACAGACTATAGACTATTGTATAATCCAGAATATGGACTATTCTAATGCAAAACTATAGATGATTTTATAGTCCAGACTACAAACTATGCTGTAGTCGAGACTATAAACTATTCTATAGTCCAGACTATAGACTATTCTGTAGTCCAGACTATAGACTATTCTGTAGTCCAGACTATAGACTATTCTGTAGTCCAGACTATAAGCTATTGTACAGTCTAGATTATATACTATTCTATAGTCTAGACTATAGACTATTCTATAGTCAAGACTATAGACTTTTCTATAGTCCAGACTATAGACTATTCTATAGTCTAGACTATAGACTATTCTACAGTTCAGACTATAGACTATTCCAGACTATTGAAAATGTATTCTATAGTCTAGACTATAGACTATTCTATAGTCTAGGTTATAGGCCAGAATATAGACTATTCTATACTCCAGACAATAAACTATTCCATAGACCAGACTATAAACTATGGTATAGTCCAGAATTTGCACTATTCTAAAGTCTGGACTATAGATTATTCTATAATCCAGCCTGCAGTTTATGCTATAGTTCAGACTATAAACTAGTCCAGACTACAGACTATGCTATAGTCCAGACTATAAACTATCCTATAGTCCAAATTATGGACTATTTTTTAGTCTAGACTTAGACTATTGTACATTCCAGACTATTGACTATTATATAGTCCAGAATATAGATTATTTTATAGGCCAGACTATAAAATTCAATAGTCTCTCTATAGTCCAGAATTTAAACTATTCTAAACTCCAGACTATGGACCATTCCATAGTCCATACTATAGACTATTCTATAGTTCAGACTACAGAATATTTAATAGTCCAGGCTATAGACTATTCTATAGTCCAGGCTATAGACTATTCTATAGTCCAGGCTACAGACTATTCTAAAGTCAAGACTGTAGACTATGTGTAGTCCAGATTATAGACTATTCTAAAGTCCAGATTATATACTATTCTAAAGTCAAGACAGACTATAGACTATTCTATAGTCTAGACTATAGACTATTCTAAAGTCCAGACTATAGACTATTCTATAGTCCAGACTATAGACTATTCTATAGTCCAGACTATATACTATTCTATAGTCCAGACTATAGACTATTCTATAGTCCAGACTATAGACTATTCTATAGTCCAAACTATAGACTATTCTATAGTCCAAACTATAGACTATTCTATAGTATAGACTATTCTATCGTCCAGACAACACACAAGCTCAATGTACAAAAGTGCATTTTTATGATTTAAATAACATTTCATTTACTTTATAAAACCAGTTAATAGTTATATTGTTAAAAAGAATTGCAGATTTGAATGAGTTATTTGCCAAATGTGTAGCAATTGTCCAATAAAATTTTTATTTTAAAAAGGATCTAATATATACCAATAGATGCCATTTTAGGTTTATCTGCTTCACAAATATAATAAAAACGCAAACCACAATGTACGTCATTCATCTGATACTTTCCATTTATACTCATTAAATGTGCACAATTCTCATTACCATTCCAATTGTCCGGTTGACCTTGGGCCCATTCAGCATAAGTAATAGTTTCACCAGTATTATACCAAATCCACTGACCTTCGGTATCTTGATCAGAGGCGGCCAACCAAGCATTGAAATTTTTGGAATATTTTGATATCATATATTTAGATAGTTCTCCCATTTCCTTTCTAGTTTCATAAGAGGCCAATAGACCACCCATAGTTCGACAAATCGTGTAAGCACTGTACCAAGAAACCTAGATAGATAATAACTTGACAATTTAGTTATAATTCAAATATTTTCTTTAAGATTTTTATTTATACCTTAGATTGTCCAAAATAATAATATTTTTTGCCTACTTTAACAAATGGCCTCATATTTATATAATCGGGAAAATCTGTTAAAGTACTTTTGCAATTATTTACTTAATTTTCATATATGTATACTATATTAGTTACCTTCTTGTTTATTCGAATATGCACCGTGAGTACTGAAGCTCATTACAACTTTTATAGCACATAAAACTAAACCGATTTTACAAATATTTTGATACATTTTTCGATATATTAAATGAATTGTTGATTTCTAATGTTCAAATGAATGCAAAAATTTTGAAGGGTTTTATTTATATGCAAATTTTTCTTTTTCAATTATCTTATTTACAATCTTTTATAAATAGATTAATTTTAAAATAACAGCTGTTATTTAATTGTATTAAATGTTTTTTCATATATTTTATAAACAGTTGTGTATACCCGGCGTTGCCCGAGTAAAGAGAAAATTTTATTTGAAGCCAATTATGTGACATAATGTCATTTTGTGAAGGGAAGAATCTTAAATTGTGGTTAGGATCTATTTTGAACCGATCATTATCAAATTTGATAGATTTTTATATTCTTAAAACATTTTTATAAGGAACATAACGCTATTCTGGTTTTATTAAGCCGGTAATGAGCTTAAACATAATTTTCTGAAGGGGATCTTATAGGAGGAGGTTGGATCAATCATGGTCGAATATCCGCTCTATATTACAAAATAAATTTGCAAACTTCTGCAACAATTTTTGTGATTTTAACAGACAAACAGACGGGCATAACTAGATCTATAGAAATTTACCATTCTATGGACTATAGATAGATTACTCTATAGTACATGCCATAGATTATTATATAGTCCAGACTTTAGATTATTCTATAGTCCCGACTATAGATTATTCTATTTTCCAGACTATAGATTATTTTATTGTCCAGACTATAGACTATTTTATTGTCCAGACTATAGATTATTCTATAGTCCAGTCTATAGATTATTCTATAGTCCAGGCTATAGATTATTCTATAGTACAGACTATTGATTATTCTATAGTACAGACTATAGATTATTCTATGGTCCAGACTATAGATTATTCTATAGTCCACACCATTGATTACTCTGTAGTCCAGACAGTAGATTCTTCTACAGTCCATACTATAGGTTATTCTATAGACCACACTATTTATTACACTATAGTCCAGACAGTAGATTATACAGTCCAGACTACAGATTATTCTTTAGTCCACACTATTCATTACTCTTCTACAGTCCATAATATAGATTATTCTATAGTCCAGACTATGAACTATTCTATAGTCCATACTATAGACTACTGTATAGTCCAGAATTGACTATTCTACAATACAAACTATAGATTATTCCACAGTCCAAAATGTTAACTATTCTATAGTCCAAACTATCGATTATTCCTCGGTTAAAACTATTCTATAGATTATAGACAATCCTATAGTGCAGACTATAAATTATTCTTTACTTCCGACTATAGGTTATTCTATAGTCCGGACTATAGACTACTCTATAGTACCGACTATACTCTACTATATAATCCGAACTGTAGACAATTTCAAAGTCCAAACTGTAGACTATTCTATACTCCAGAACTATTCTTAAGTCTATCCTACAGTGCAGAGTATAGATTATGCTATACTTATTAGTTAGTTAGTTAGTTAGTTAGTTAGTTAGTTAGTTAGTTAGTTAGTTAGTTAGTTAGTTAGTTAGTTAGTTAGTTAGTTAGTTAGTTAGTTAGTTAGTTAGTTAGTTAGTTAGTTAGTTAGTTAGTTAGTTAGTTAGTTAGTTAGTTAGTTAGTTAGTTAGTAGTTAGTTAGTTAGTTAGTTAGTTAGTTAGTTAGTTAGTTAGTTAGTTAGTTAGTTAGTTAGTTAGTTAGTTAGTAGTTAGTTAGTTAGTTAGTTAGTTAGTTAGTTAGTTAGTTAGTTAGTTAGTTAGTTAGTTAGTTAGTTAGTTAGTTAGTTAGTTAGTTAGTTAGTTAGTTAGTTAGTTAGTTAGTTAGTTAGTTAGTAGTTAGTTAGTTAGTTAGTAGTTAGTTAGTTAGTTAGTTAGTTAGTTAGTTAGTTAGTTAGTTAGTTAGTTAGTTAGTTAGTTAGTTAGTTAGTTAGTTAGTTAGTTAGTTAGTTAGTTAGTTAGTTAGTTAGTTAGTTAGTTAGTTAGTTAGTTAGTTAGTTAGTTAGTTAGTTAGTTAGTTAGTTAGTTAGTAGTTAGTTAGTTAGTTAGTTAGTTAGTTAGTAGTTAGTTAGTTAGTTAGTTAGTTAGTTAGTTAGTTAGTTAGTTAGTTAGTTAGTTAGTTAGTTAGTTAGTTAGTTAGTTAGTTAGTTAGTTAGTTAGTTAGTTAGTTAGTTAGTTAGTTAGTTAGTTAGTTAGTTAGTTAGTTAGTTAGGTTAGTTAGTTAGTTAGTTAGTTAGTTAGTAGTTAGTTAGTTAGTTAGTTAGTAGTTAGTTAGTTAGTTAGTTAGTTAGTAGTAGTTAGTTAGTTAGTTAGTTAGTTAGTTAGTTAGTTAGTTAGTTAGTAGTTAGTTAGTTAGTTAGTTAGTTAGTTAGTTAGTTAGTTAGTTAGTAGTAGTTAGTTAGTTAGTAGTTAGTTAGTTAGTTAGTTAGTTAGTTAGTTAGTTTAGTTATTAGTTAGTTAGTTAGTTAGTTAGTTAGTTAGTTAGTTAGGTTAGTTAAGTTAGTTAGTAGTTAGTTAGTTAGTTAGTTAGTTAGTTAGTTAGTTGTTAGTTAGTAGTTAGTTAGTTAGTTAGTTAGTTAGTTAGTTAGTAGTTAGTTAGTTAGTTAGTTGTTAGTTAGTTCGTTAGTTAGGTTAGTTAGTTAGTTAATTAGGTTTTTAGTTATTAAGTTAGTTAGTTTGACACAATAATTGTTCTTACCTTTGATTTTCTCAACGTTTGGTATGATTTTTGGTGACACAGAAACTCAATATTCATTTAAAATTGTTTTTATGGTTCAAATTATATTTCATTTATAGACTTGATAAGACCACATAGTTTGATTTATTTGCCAAATGTTAAGCAATTGTCACTCCAACGTAAGCATTTTTCGAAAATTTTCAAATAAAATTTATATTTTTTGGAAAGGATCTAATATATACCAACAGATGCCAATTTAGGTTCATCAGTTTCACAAATATAATACTGACGCAATCCGCAATGTACGTCATTCATTTTATACTTCCCACCATTTTTCAGCAATTGCGCACAATTCTCATTACCTTTATAATTATCCGGTTGACCTGCGTCCCAATTAGCATAAATTATAACTTCACCAGTATTATACCAATACCACTGACCCTCGACATCTTGATCTGAAGCAGACAACCAAAAAATTTTATTTGTGGAATATTTTGAATTCAAATAATCGGATAGTTGTGTTGCTTCCTGAGATGTTTCTAAAGAGGCCAGAAAACCGCCCAAACTTCGACAAATCGAGTAGGCATTATGCCAAGTAACCTAGATATAGATATGAAACATTATAATATGTGTATGTATTTATATTTGAGTTGTTTATGTTTTACCTTAGTATCTCCTAAATGATAATATTTCGTGCCCACTTTAACAAATGGCTTCATATTAATATTATCGGGGACATCTATTAGAATTATTCACTATTATTTATTTGCAACAATTTTTATAAATGTATTTTATATTAGTTACCTTGTTGTAAATTAGAATATGTATTGCGAGTGCTATAGCTCATTACCATTTTTATAGCACATAAAACTAAACCAATTTTACAAATATTTTGCCTCATTTTTCTATATATTTCGCAAATATATTTTCCTTTCGATTTCTAATATTTGAATAAATTTGAAAATCTAAAAGTATCTAATTTATAGGTAAATTTTATTCTTAAATTTTTCTTATATTCAATTACAATAACAGCTGTTCTTAAAATACAATATAATAATTATGAAAATTATAATTTTTAATTATTTAGACTATATGAGAACAGGTACATTCGGCTATAATGAATCATATATTATCAATATTTATGGTAAATCTGATTCCAAGTGTACTTATTGTTATAGACTAGACTATACGCTAAACTATGGAATAGAGTATACACTACTCTAAACACTAGGCTATAGATCAGAACATAGACTATAATATAGACTAAATCATAGACTAGATTATAGACTAGACTATAGAATACGCCATAAACAAGACTTAAGACTAGACTATGGTATAATCATTGACTAGAATATAGAATACGCCATAGACTAGACTAAAGACTATATTATAGTCTAAACTATAGACTAGACTATAGAATAGACTATAGACTAGACTATAGGCTAGACTATAGACTATAGACTAGACTATAGACTAGACTATAGACTATACTATAGACTAGACTATAGACTAGACTATAGACTAGACTATAGCCTAGACTATAGACTAGACTATAGACTAGACTATAGACTAGACTATAGACTAGACTATAGACTAGACTATAGACTAGACTATAGACTAGACTATAGACTAGACTATAGACTAGACTATAGACTAGACTATAGACTAGACTATAGACTAGACTATAGACTAGACTATAGACCTAGACTATAGACTAGACTATAGACTAGACTATAGACTAGACTATAGACTAGACTAGACTATAGACTAGACTATAGACTAGACTATAGACTAGACTATAGACTAGACTATAGACTAGACTATAGACTAGACTATAGACTAGACTATAGACTAGACTATAGACTAGACTATAGACTAGACTATAGACTAGACCATAGACTAGACTATAGACTAGACTATAGACTAGACATAGACTAGACTATAGACTAGACTATAGACTAGACTAGACTAGACTAGACTAGACTAGACTATAGACTAGACTAGACTAGACTAGAACTAGACTAGACTAGTAGACTAGACTAGACTAGACTAGACTAGACTAGACTAGACTAGACTAGACTAGACTAGACTAGACTAGACTAGACTAGACTAGACTAGACTAGACTAGACTAGACTAGACTAGACTAGACTAGACTAGACTAGACTATAGACTAGACTATAGACTAGACTATAGACTAGACTATAGACTAGACTATAGACTAGACTATAGACTAGACTATAGACTAGACTATAGACTAGACTATAGACTAGACTATAGACTAGACTATAGACTAGACTATAGACTAGACTATAGACTAGACTATAGACTAGACTATAGACTAGACTATAGACTAGACTATAGACTAGACTATAGACTAGACTATAGACTAGACTATAGACTAGACTATAGACTAGACTATAGACTAGACTATAGACTAGACTATAGACTAGACTATAGACTAGACTATAGACTAGACTATAGACTAGACTATAGACTAGACTATAGACTAGACTATAGACTAGACTATAGACTAGACTATAGACTAGACTATAGACTAGACTATAGACTAGACTATAGACTAGACTATAGACTAGACTATAGACTAGACTATAGACTAGACTATAGACTAGACTATAGACTAGACTATAGACTAGACTAGTCTAGACTATAGACTAGACTATAGACTAGAATATAGACTAGACTATAGACTAGACTATAGACTAGACTATAAACTAGACTATAGACTAGACTATAGACTAGACTATTGACTAGACTATAGACTAGACTATAGACTAGACTATAGACTAGACTATAGACTAGACTATAGACTAGACTATAGACTAGACTATAGACTAGACTATAGACTGTAAATTAGACTATAGACTAGACTACAGACTAGACTACATACTAGACTACAGACTAGACTGTAGACTACGCTATGGACTAGACTATAGACTAGAATATAGAGTAGACTACTGACTAACTATAAGCTAGACTATGGTATAGTCTATAGACTATACCATATTCTAGCTACTAGACGATTCGAGTGTCGGTTTATTATAAGTCCTAGACACTAGGCCTTCAAAAAATAACTAGAGTAGACCATCGTATGTCCCTGCTTCTTTATAGATTTCAAATATATTATATAGTTATTTTCCTTAACACTGGAACTTTTTATTAATCATCGTTTTCTTAAAATATACTAACAGCTATAGTTGTAGGTTTATCAGCTTGACAAATATAATTCATAGCCATATTACATCTCGCATCATTCATCTGATACTTTTTCGTTAGATGCCATAAATGTACACAATCCTCATTGCCGCCCATATTATCCGGTTGACCAGCAGACCAATCAGCATATTTTATCGCTTCACCAGTATTATACCAAAAGAATTTACCCTCGACATCTTGATCGGAACCCGACAACCACCAGTAATAATTTAAAGGATATTTCGAAATCAAATAATTGGATAAATCAGCTAATTCTTGGGCTGAATCATAAGAGGCCAGAAAACCGCCTAGAGTACGGCAGATCAAGAAGGCATTATACCAACTAACCTAGAGAAAAGAAATTAAGAAAATTTATTTATACTTTGTAAAATAAGAAATTTGTATTTCTACCTGATTTTGGCCGAAATAATAAAATGTATTGCCGACTTTTACAAAAGGCTGTATATTGACATCAGCCGGAAAATCTGTTCAAATATGATAGTAATTAATAATACAATTTATTTGTATATTAGTAGTTACCTTCTAGTACACTAGTGGCCATCTGGGGAGTACGACCACACCATACCATTTTTACCGCCCAAAAAACTAATCCGATTTTAAAAATGTTGTACAACATTTTTTCTGTATAAATCAAGTATATTTCGTATAGAAGTTAAAAATTTTAATGAAAGAAAAAATGTAAAAAGTTCAATTTATAGATAATTTACTAGCTTTTAAAAATAGATAATTTTACATTATCTCTAAGTTATCTTTATAGTTTTATAGATTCATACTTACATATATATATGACTTTTTTATTATATTTAAAGACCCTTCAAAGTACTGTACTGATTGATAATAATCAGAGGAAATAGTACTTTAATAATGCAATCCAAATAAAATTTAAACAAAAACTTGCAATAAAGTATGAAAAGGCTTGTTAAATATATCGTAAAATTAATTGTCGTAGGTCGATCTCAATTTTCGTAATATATTTTAAAAATAATAAATTAATATATCTTAACGAATTTTTTATACCCACCATCAAAAAAGATGGGGGGTATATTGTTTTTGTCATTCCGTTCGTAACACATTGAAATATTCGTCTAAGACCCATAAAAGTATATATATTCTGGGTCCTTATTAGATTCTAAGACGATCTAGCCATATCCGTCCGTCTGTCCGTCTGTCCGTCTGTCTGTCTGTCTGTCTGTCTGTCTGTTGAAAACACGATAGAGCCCAAACGGAAGTAGCTAGAGAGCTGAAGTTTTGCATAAATACTTTTCGTTTGGTATTGAAAATGGGCAATATCGGTCCACGATTTCGCCTAGCCCCCATATAAGGTCCCCTTCAGAAAATGACTTTAACGCTCATAACTGACTAAAAGAAGCACCTATAGCGATGAAATTCGACATAAACATATTTTATAGGAACCTTAAAATCTTTGTAGAATTTTATAAGGATCGGTCCATAATTGACCCTACCCCCCATATAAGGTCCCCTTCAAAAATGACTTTAACGCTCATAACTGTCTAAAAGAAGCATCTATAGCGATGAAATTCGACATGAACATATTCTATAGAAACTTTAATCGCTTTGTAAAATTTTATAAGGATCGGTCCATAATTGACCCTAGCCGCCCTATAAGGTCCCCTTCAGAAAATGACTTTAACGCTCATAACTGTCCAAAAGAAGCAGCTATAGCGATGAAATTCGACATGAACATATTTTATAGGAACCTTAATATCATTGTAAAATTTTATAAGGATTGGTCCATAATTGACCTTATCCCCCATATAAGCTCCCCTTCAGAAAATGACTTTAACGCTTATAACTGACTAAAAGAAGCATCTATAGCGATGAAATTAGACATGAACCTATTTTATAGAAACGTTAGTCGCTTTGTAAAATTTTATAAGGTTCGGTCCAGAATTGACCCTACCCCCCATATAAGATCCCCTTCAGAAAATGACTTTAACGCTCATAACTGTCCAAAAAAGCATCTATAGCGATGAAATTTGACATGAACATATTTTATAGGAACCTTGATATCATTGTAAAATTTTATAAGGATCGGTTCATAATTGACCCTATCCCCCATATAAGATCCACTTCAGAAAATTACTTTAACGCTCATAACTGTCTAAAAGAAGCATCTATAGCGATGAAATTCGACATAAATATATTTTCTAGGAACCTAAATCGCTTTGCAAAATATATTTTATAGGAACCTTGATATCATTGTAAAATTTTATAAGGATCGGTTCATAATTGACCCTATCCCTCATATAAGGTCCCCTTCAGAAAATGACTTTAACGCTCATAACTCTCTAAAAGAAGCATCTATAGCAATGAAATTCGACATGAACCTATTTTATGGAAACCTAAATCGCTTTGTAAATTTTTATAAGGATCGGTCCATAATTGACCCTAACCCCCATATAAGATCCCCTTCAGAAAATGACTTTAACGCTCATAAATGTCTAAGAGAAGCGTCTATAGCGATGAAAATCGACATGAACCTATTTTATAGAAACCTAAATCGCTTTGTAAAATTTTACGAAGATCGGTCCATAATTGACCCTACCCCCCATATAAGATCCCCTTCGGAAAATGGCTTTAAGGTTCATAATTGTCTAAAAAAAGCATCCATACCGATGAAATTTGACATGAACATATTTTATAAGAACCTTAATATCATAGCAAAATTTTATAAGGATCGGTCCATAATTCACCCTATCCCCCATATAAGGTCCTCTTCAGAAAATTACTATAGCGATGAAATTCAACATGAACATATTTTATAGGAACCTAAATCGCTTTGTAAAATTTTATAAGGATCGGTTCATAATTGACCCTACCCCCCATATAAGGTCCCCTTCACAAATGGCTTTAACGCTCATTACTAGCTAAAATCGTTCTAGAAAATTTGACGAGGATCGGTCCATAATTGACCAAACCTCCCCCCCTAATAAGGTCCCTCTCAGAAAATGACTTTAACGCTTTATACTACCTTAAAAATACAAGTACAGCGACAAAATTTGTTACAAATTTCTCTACCAAATTTTAGGAGAATCCTATCGATATACATAATATGTATGATGGTAAAATTATACATATACGTAATGAATGAGAAAATTGTTTTGATGATAACAAAAGCATCGATTCTTAAATATCAAAGTTTATTTATAAGCAAGCACTCCTTTTCGGCAATATTTTGATGGTGGCACAAGATTCGGCACAGCCGAATATAACACCCCAGAAAAAAATCTAAAATTTTTGGTAATAGCCAGTAGTTATTTCATACATTATTTGGTAATGAGTGTTCATTATCATCCACATTATTTCATTTAGCTGAATAGGTTATTACTGGTAAAGAACAAACCAATTTGGATTTGTTATGGCTCAATTGTCTAGGTCGTTTATTTAACAAACAGGGGGTTCGTGGTTCGAGCCCTGCTGGATACTGTTTATTTTTTTCAAAATGACATTCATTTATATATTTTTGTAAAATGCCGTTCTCAAAATTACAAAAAGCAACATGTTAATGGAGCATCGAGTAAGCGGCTGGAGTGAGAAACATAGAAAACAACTGAATGCCTGGGTTCAAATCCCGGCCGAGATTTTTTTGTATTTTTGTTTTCTACATACAAAGTCGGCCCAAAATAACTAGCTATCACATAACATATTTGTAGGTTTATTTGTAACTAGTTATTTCGCAAAGTTTTTGTAATCAAATTAGTAACCATTTATTAATTTGTTTAAGGTAGGTACATATTATTTGAACCTCGTCGAACAAAAATAATTAGTTATTCACCCCAAAAGTAATTAGTTTCCACGTGATTCCAATATTACTTTCTAGATTACTAGGTAATGAAAATTTTTGCTGGGACTCTTACTTGTTATGTTTAACAAATAATCTTCATAAATCTTTAGCTATTCCGTCACGTTTACAATAAGTTTCCTTCAACCAAAGAAAAAACTGTTTAATTTACCTTGTCAATTTTAGGAATTGACATTTTCAAAATTAACTTTAAAGCAATAATAAAAACTCAATACTTCATTCTCCATTACAAGTTGTTCATTCATTTATTTATGCTCAACCAAGTTTATTTTAAAATTTTCTATTTCGATAACACCAATTCCAAATAAATTTCAGAAAATCATTAATATTATCCAAAAAATATAGTTCAGCATAGACTAGACTACACTGGACAATAGACTATACTATAGACTAGACTATAGACTAGACTATAGACTAGCCTATAGACTAGACTATAGACTAGACTATAGACTAGACTATAGACTAGACTATAGACTAGACTATAGACTAGACTATAGACTAGACTATAGACTAGACTATAGACTAGACTATAGACTAGACTATAGACTAGACTATAGACTAGACTATAGACTAGACTATAGACTAACTAGACTAGACTATAGACTAGACTATAGACTAGACTATAGACTAGACTATAGACTAGACTATAGACTAGACTATAGACTAGACTATAGACTAGACTATAGACTAGACTATAGACTAGACTATAGACTAGACTATAGACTAGACTATAGACTAGACTATAGACTAGACTAAAGACTAGACTATAGACTAGACTATAGACTAGACTATAGACTAGACTATAGACTAGACTATAGACTAGACTATAGACTAGACTATAGACTAGACTAGACTAGACTATAGACTAGACTATAGACTAGACTATAGACTAGACTATAGACTAGACTATAGACTAGACTATAGACTAGACTATAGACTAGACTATAGACTAGACTATAGACTAGACTATAGACTAGACTATAGACTAGACTATAGACTAGACTATAGACTAGACTATAGACTAGACTATAGACTAGACTATAGACTAGACTATAGACTAGACTATAGACTAGACTATAGACTAGACTATAGACTAGACTATAGACTAGACTATAGACTAGACTATAGACTAGACTATAGACTAGACTATAGACTAGACTAGACTAGACTAGACTATAGACTAGACTATAGACTAGACTATAGACTAGACTATAGACTAGACTATAGACTAGACTATAGACTAGACTATAGACTAGACTATAGACTAGACTATAGACTAGACTATAGACTAGACTATAGACTAGACTATAGACTAGACTATAGACTAGACTATAGACTAGACTATAGACTAGACTATAGACTAGACTATAGACTAGACTATAGACTAGACTATAGACTAGACTATAGACTAGACTATAGACTAGACTATAGACTAGACTATAGACTAGACTATAGACTAGACTATAGACTAGACTATAGACTAGACTATAGACTAGACTATAGACTAGACTATAGACTAGACTATAGACTAGACTATAGACTAGACTATAGACTAGACTATAGACTAGACTATAGACTAGACTATAGACTAGACTATAGACTAGACTATAGACTAGACTATAGACTAGACTATAGACTAGACTATAGACTAGACTATAGACTAGACTATAGACTAGACTATAGACTAGACTATAGACTAGACTATAGACTAGACTATAGACTAGACTATAGACTAGACTATAGACTAGACTATAGACTAGACTATAGACTAGACTATAGACTAGACTATAGACTAGACTATAGACTACCTTTAGACTAGACTATAGAC